TTTTTCTTCCCACTGGCTTTCCTGGTACCACACTTTGTTCCATTGAACTAAAAATATCCTATATCTACAGGTTACAGTCAAGTAGCTTTATTAATCGCTTTCCTACGTGAAATAAAATGTTGTACGATTGTACGCCCCATAAGCTGTAGTAGTCTATTATAGTGGTGATAAAAAATAACTAAAAATGCCAAAACTGGAGAAGAAAAATATTAATACCTTGGGTTTTTTTTACATATATTTAAATATTGTATTAATTAGTTTTGTTTGCGTTTAGGGAGAGGAACATAATGTAGTACCGCGCCCAAATGAACCGATATTCATAACAGAACACAGAGTAGACGAGGAGGTCGAAGAGGTCCCACGTGGACCAAGGCCGGATTTGGTAAGTCTAATATACTAGAAGTTTACTATAGTCAATTTTTTTCCCCTCTTTTTACAATCCATAAATGCTTATTAACTAATTTTCTTAAAAGGGTTGGATAATTTTTCTTTATTTTGTTTTTTAATTGAAGTTTTTGGGGTTTAAAAAATCTGAAAATTAGACCACAGGTAAATTTAAAATATACAATTATATCAATTTTTTCTTTATTTTGTTTTTTCAGCGACGTTATATGGAAATGTTGGTTAGAGAAGAGGTAAGTACCAAAAATAAAAATTTGTCGTTTAATGAGATACTATGGGAATACGACCCTAGAATGCATGGACATTTAATCGACTATACTGGAAGATTCATTATGGATAAGACAATAAATTTCTATTAAACTATTTCGAATTTTGTAGTTTTTCAATTGAAAACTTTTGTTTATGTTATTTTACAATATGAGGTCGTATTCAAATATGTATCTTTCTGATTTTCTCTCAGAGCTCTATCAACTTTTAAAATTTAAATGGTAACATCTATGTATATTTTATTGGCTCTTTTAATTAGTTAAGGGCGGTAAAGTTGTAAAATTCTCCTTCCCCTCTCCATATTTATTACATATTTTTTGTTATTTCAAAAATTTTTAAGCAAATTATCGCTTATCTAAAAAGTTTATCAAATATTTATACATGGAACCTGAGTTTTAAGAGTTGATTACACCCTGGAAAGTTGTTAATAAAACAATTTTTTTGATAATTTTCAGAGGAGGAACCATGCTTGTATGAGGTGCAAGGAGTTCGGGCACCTCGGGCACCAGTGCCATCTGCCCTGGGTGGAGTCCAAAGAAAGTCCCGAACATTATGCAAGAAGAATGAGGGGGCGCCGTAGGCGTTAGAGATCACTCTAGTGATCTCAGTACATGCACCGTTCTATACCCTGTTCGCTAAGAGAGCATGCCGGCCAGTGTTGGGAAAAATCGTAATCATAACTACCATTACGTTTATAATCATGAAAATTTTAAGGTGTGATTACGATTACGCCCAACACTGATGCCGGGTTTGCGCGTGTAGACTGAAGACTAAGTAGCAAGACTAAGGCAGGCAGACAGAGCGGACTTACGGGGGAACGTTAGTCACATGCCGCAACCCAACGAAAATTGGCCGTTCTGCGCACCCCCCCCCCCCCCGTGGCACCAAGTGTGACTAACGTTTCCCCCGAAGTCCGCCCTGTCTGCCAGGCTTAGTCTTCAGTCTACATGCGCAAACCCAGCATGCTCTCTTAGCGAACAGGGTATAAAATGGTGCATGTACTTTTTGGCCTGGCTTTGATACCGGCACATCAAAGCCGACTAGGCCCTTATTTTGGTCGCCGGGGTTCCCACTCTAGCCGCATCTTCTCCGACTTCGATACCTCCTACCACTCTACCTCTAGTCCGCCAAATGCTTTTAATCTCCAGTTCTCCGGTTTTATCGGTCCAACCACCACTCCTTATGTCCTGGGTACTTGACCCTTTAGCTCATCCGTCGTCACTCTCCTCCGGCCGCCTCTTGTTGGCGCATTGAGAGGTGGCGCAGACACTCTTGTGGCGATCTCCTATCAACCTCGCTCCATTCCACAAGTTGCTCATGAACCTTACTCGCATGTCACTGGCCGGGCCAGTGTGAAGAGCCGGCGACATTTCGGCTACCGACTACCGTTTGACAGTGTTGGGCAAATGTAATCTGTTTAATTATTACGATTAATAATAGTAATCAGTAATCATCGTGTTAGATTAATACAATCATATAAATGTAATCATGATTACATTTATGATTACATTAATCTTTCAAATGTGATCATGAAATGATTAATGATTATATTTTTTTAACCGCCATAGGTTTTATGTATTACATAATACATATATTAAAAAAAAATATATGGGATGTCTAAGACGATTTGACCTTTGCAATATCATCTAGACAATTATTATTATTTTGTAATAAGCCTGGGGCGGTTAAACAATTTTTTTTTTGTAATGTTTTCATGATTACAATTGAAAATATAATCATGATTACTGATTACTTTTACAAAATGATAAAATGATTAATGATTAATTTAATCATGATTACAATGCTGTAATCGATTACGTAATCCAATAATAAATTAATCGGTTACGCCCAACACTGCCGTTTGAAGGGCATTACTGCCAATATCATACTACAATATACATGTATTCTTTTTTTTTGTCCCTTTAAGCATTTTTGTATTGTCGTACCTATTGCACCACACCTTCAGTTTTGCGCAGGCGAACCCTCCCACTTCTGATGTGATGTGGTGTAAATAGATGAATAAAAGCCATTTAAATACAAACTCCACCCCATTGAATTGTAATAACTTCAAAGTTAACATTATAATTTTTTTTTTTATAAAAATTGTTATAATATCTAATGTAAAAAAAAATATTATGTAAAACCATCTGGTTAAAATCATATTATTCTTGATAATGTGTGTATAATAATATACAATAACCGTAATGTTAATAAATACAGTACTAATTGCTAAACAAAAAAAAATGTTTTTTATTTAACTAAAATACATTGATAATAATATACAAGGTAATGCAATGTTTAAAACCAATTGCGTAATGTAAACATTTTATAAAAAGTACAGTGTTGTTTAGGGCTTAAATTCATGTGAAATAAACACGTTGGGTATCCATCATCAGAGTGTAATTGATCTATGCGAGGACAAACAATATCTTCAAGGTTAATTATGTTAATATGTGATAAACTCATGTAAAATATCTTTTTTCTGTAGTCCATATATGGTTGTAAATGTTAAAGCATTTAAAATTATTGATAGTTCTTCCGCTTCATAATGAGGTGCCATTGAGTGAAGGTGTTTGGTTAGCCATTTGTTAACATTTTGTGTTTTAATGTTTAAAGATTGTGTAACATACATACCTACTTTTATATATATATATATATATATATATATATATATATAAATAAAAAATAAAAAAAGTACCAACCAACCAAGTTCATACTTACATTGGGTTCATTCGGTTTTTATCGAGAGCTCAGACAACACATCTGTCCTTTTTTTCTTCTTGTACTTTTCGTTGGTTAAAAATGGAATACGAAGTTGTCGACGGATTTCGTAAAAATAGTAAGCTACATCATAGTAATGATGGCTTTTTTTACCGCGTAAAGAAAGTGAGGCTATCGTCTACCTCACTAAGTTGTATAAAACCCAACTGCACTGCGAGAGGTATGATTTATTGCTATATATTATTTTAGAAAATTAATCTTTTTTCTCAATATGAACTATTTGTAACCCGATTGTAAATGGAAAACTGAAGCAATTAGTAGTTAGACGTAATCGTACTTATTTTACGAATACACAATAAAGCAGTGTACCATTTAAGTATAACTCAACAGAAGATTTTTTTTAATTAGGTAATACTCCACTTAATTAGAAAAATATCTTTTAAAAGGCTTGAAATAAAAACCGTTTTATTTGATTTTTTTTAGAAAATAACACTATTTTTCAAAGAAAAAAGGCCAGCACCATGAGTTGCCCTAGTACACAATTTATAGATTTTAATATGATAATTTACAAAAATTGATCAATGGGTTAACTATCATGAATATTTTGTGGCAATTAGTATTTATATTCATAATAATTTTTTATAATCCGATTTGGTATAAAACATAACAATGATTAAAGGGATTGAAAGCGGACGGTTTTTAAGGGGTTTTATTAAAGGCAATATTTAAGAAAAAAGCAACTTTTCGAACATTTTATTTAGTTACAGGTTACTTTGTAAAAGCTAGAGGCATCATTTTTAACTTTTATAATTTATTCTCCGAGTAAATGCCATTTTGTACATACAAGAAATTAATTAAGGGAATTGCATACGGTCGGTTTTTAAGGAATTTTGTATAGGCAATATTTAGGAAAAACTATTTTAATAAATTTTGACCATGTCAATTAATTTACCGGTTAATTTGTATAAGCTTCATGGTGTTATTTTTAATTTAAATCTTTTTGTCTATGAGTAAAGCCATTTTAGTTAATATAGTATACATTTTTTGTTCCATCGCACTGGCTGAACCAGTGGTCCGATTATTTATCTGAAAATATATTTGAATTTGCCATGAAGTTTACTTCATCGGACAGGGCACTTTTTTGATATCTTATTCCTACTATGTACAAAACCCGTTTGAATATTATAAAAAATTTCAATTTTTAAAAGGGTAAAGGTAAAGGGTTTAAATTAAAAACCGAAAGTGTGCCCTGAACGATCCTAAGTAAACTTCATGACGAATTCAAATCTGTTTTTAGATTGTTTATCGGATCACCGTGTTGGCTTATGCAATTGAATAAAAATGATGTTATGACTGAAAAAACTGACCGCATGTAATTCCCCCTTAAGACCTAAAATCTTGACAAAATTATGCCTACTTAATATGATTGAATTTTAATTCTGTATAAATATTTGGGCTCATGAGCTTTTTCCCTAGGTTACCGTGGAAGTCGGATTAATAAAACAATATAAAGGATACTAAAAACTTAAGAAATTAAAATAGGATTTAAACACAATTTTAATTGAAAATATAAAATTATTTACACAATAACCTTGAAAAGAGGACGATTAACTTGACATTTTTTATATAAAATTCAAATTGGACATTCTACGTAGGCGTAATTTTGTCAGGATCTTAGGTCTAAAACTTCGAAAAAACCAGTCCGCTTTTAATCCTCTTAAGGCTGAAAACAGTTTATAACATTAAACTCTTCTTAACACGATATTGTAATTTTTTTATTATATAAAAGACTTATCAGGAATGATAGATTTGAGGTGATCGGACTTCATAATCATGATCCTGATATGGAATATTTGTCCGCTGTACGTGTAAAAAGCCAAATTCTTCATCGTTGTTCAACAGAATTGACCAGTCTTAAAGTCATTTATGATGAAGAAATAACACAGTAATACCTACCTTTAATAATAATTTAAAAATTAATATCAATGACGGCATTATTTATTACATTATTTAAACTGAGCTGATTAATTGTATTTAAAACTTGATGTCTCACAAACACAGGCGGAGGCAACTGTGGCAGCTGAGCTGCCTCACTTTAACCTACTTTATTGCATAGTGATCTGTGATCGTTTGGTTTATCCATAAGTTATTTACATAATATATATTTGTAACTAAAAAATCTAGCAAGCGTAAATAATTGCGTAGTTAATTATAATTTAAGTATTTATGTTGAATCAGTAAATTGATAAAATAGGTGTACGTCTTAGTACACTTTTGAAAACTAAGTCATGCTGTAAACTACGTTCATTTAAAAATGTCCGTATATTCCTCTTAATTTAATAGAAGTAGGTTAATTTAAGCATGTTGTAAGAGTTTTAGACTACCATTATTAATTATTTACAAACTACTAAAAAGACAAGGTTTTTTTAACACGCTTATATTAGCTTCACTTGTATGTATGTATGTTTGTATGTAACTATGTAACTAAAAGAGATAGGCAACCGAACGTACATGCGTGTATTCATTGTTGCACTGGGCCGATGTCACTACATTTAAAAATAACATTATATATTGCCTCCCCTGTAATTGAAGCCCGCAAACGCTTGTGGTCATTAAAATGCATATTAAAAAGTTATTTTATACATCTTATTAGTATATTTTCATAGAACACTAAATAACTGTATACCTATAAACGTATTTCGTAAGTCTTTCTGTTCAATAATAATAAAACAAAATTTGTTTTATTATTATTGAACAGAAAGTATTTAATACTTAATGAAAGTCCTACCGTTTTTAAATATAAGAACACTTAATATTAAAATTAAGTTCTCAAATCAATCAGCTCAGCATAAGCATAATTATTTAGTAGTTCAAGACTTACATATTCTATACTTAGATTAAACCATGTTAACACTCAATTGGCGTACACCAGCTTCTTGCGAACTATGGAACGGGCCAGGGCCGAGGCTCAGCCATCGATACCCCAGACTTTCTTGGGATATGCGGGCAATTTGTCCGACCCGAGGTACCGGCATCTATTTTTAACGTCTAGCAACGAGGAGTTGTATAGGGGCTACATAGATGGAGGTGTAGAAGCTGGCGAAGCAGTGGTTTTCATTTCGCCTGCAATGATGAAGTAATCATTTAATTAACAATGAAAAAATATGTGTTACAAAGAAAACATTGCCTTTGATCCCAAAAACATATTTCTTAAGTATTTAAAAAAAAAATATAACTTATTTTAAAGAAAAACGATTAAAATTTGTATAAATTAATTTCTTTCAATTAACTATTATGAATTATCTCCAACAAAAACCTAACAGAGAAAATTGGCCAAGTTCCAAGACTAAATATCAAAGTAGTGATATTTACATTTCAAAAGCTTATCTTAGGAGGAATCAGAGACATGTGAGTTAGAAAAACTGGGTGAATTGGTTCGTTTAAAGATAAACTGGCATTACTGAAACTTGGCCTAGCACACTACTGTGCGCTCAGATAGCTGCTTGTAATATTTTGTGGACAAGTACAGCAGCATATTTAATATCAGTCCAATAGCAAATAGTTTTAATACCAATCTTCACAAATTAGAATATATAATTGCTTACCTAGATGATTTTTTTTATAGACAATATTATAGCTTAAATGTAATTTTAGTTTATTAGGCAGTTCACATGAATTACATGTAGATGGCACGTTCAAATCGAGGCCTATTCAGCCTCAAACTGAACAAGTTTTAATTATTATGGCCATTTACATGGATCAGGTAATAGAAAATATATAATAAATTTAAAAAACGATTTTTATGAGTTTACGATTAGCATTTTTATTTATACGTTTACTTAGGCTTTTCCGGTTGCATTTGTGTTGATGACAAGGAAGACCGAGATCGCGTACCGGTGCGTGCTTGAATAAGTAAGGGATCTTATTCCAGGCGGTATTCAAGCAACAAACATCATTACTGACTATGAAACCGCATTAACCAATGCACTGAGGAATACTCTGCCAGCTGCCAACCTGCAGCGCTGTTGGTTCCACATGGTGCAAGTATGAAAAATGTTTTTAATAATTCTCTCATCATTTCTGGTGCTAAAAAATATAGCATCGTGTGTGGCCATTTAAAAATGTTTATGGTAATTTATAGGCACTTTAGAAAAATGGTAAAGAGTTTGGCATGCGGCGACGTGAATATCGTAACGACTTGGCATTGCATAACATGTTCCGCATGTCGAAGGCTCTGGCCCTTTTACCGGTCGAGCACATAGCCGAGGGTTTTAACCTGATCAAAGAAGAGAGTAGTCACGCGGAAAACGAACAAATAGATCGTCGATATATTAATTACTTCGAGAACCAGTGGATGAACCGTAAGTGTTTAGTACTGCAAACCTTAGAAAACAGTTTTTCAAATCACTTGGTATTATTATGGATATAATATTCATTAAATTTACCTAAATTAATAAGATTCATAATTATTGTACAGAAGCCTCCCCCTCCCCCAGTTGTAATACTAACAAAAGAAAAAAACAATTTGATTTTGTTTGATTTTCTCTCAATACTAACATAAAAGTGAAATGCGTACATCTATATGAAATAAAGATGCTTGATAATAATAAATAGTTAATTATTACAAACAATACCTAATATATCCTCAAAAATGAGAAAATAGTTATTTAAAAAATAATTAAGTTACCTTTGTACATAGTGGAGAGGAAATGGCAGAGTGGGTAAGGCATTAGTGTGTTTGGCACTCACTGTTGCCGGGCAAAAAATCGTCTGGTTAAAAGAAGCCGCCATCTCTCCGGCAATCACAGCTATAAACTTTTAAAACGCTCTTGACTCCAAAATACTGAATTTATTTTTATATATATGAAATGCTCTGGGGTTAAAAAAAACTAAGCAAAAAAATTGTCTTTTATTATCTCATTGTATAATACTTACTATAGGAACAGGTGCGCAGAATTTTAGCGTTTACGGACAGGCCAGGAGGACAAACAATGATCAGGAGGTCTTTCACAAAATTTTAAACCAACAAATGAATACAGCAAGACCGGGAATTTGGAATTTTACAGGTAAATCGAAATACTTTCTACAAAATAGTTAATTAGTTATAGAAATATTTTTTTTTTTTTTAATTACAGAGGTACTCTTGAAAATTGAGGGTATATAAATACCCTCAATTTTTAGTTATAAAATTATAACTAAACTATTATGATATTTTTGGTTATAAAACCAAAAATATCAACAGCAGTTGGAGCGCCCCACCTTAAGGCCACGTCGTCCACTATATGTGCAGCAGGACAGAACATAAGAGCGGCGACTGAAAGGCTAGAGCAAGGCTGCCTTACTGTTAAGGAATTTCTCTCCTACACAGGCCACTTGGCCTATAACATAGGTATACCGACAATAGTACTAAATAAAGACTACCAGGCGAGCAACCGTCCGGTAAAATACCATCCTCCTCACAGGCGACGGACTGACGATCCGTCCCGGATAGCGAATTCATCAAGAAATCATCTCATGATTGTACGTTGGGCCTTCATGGCCCGTTATGCTACAATTAAAAACAAAACCTTAATAAACTAAATTTTTTTAATAAGGAATATAACAGGTTATAAATAAAGTTGTTTTATTTTAACTTAAAATTTAGAATTGGGAGATGGTGAGGAGCAAAATGCTCCCGTTGTTGAAGCTGCCGATCCTGTAGTTGAGGCTGCTTTTGTTGTTGAGGCTGCTCCGGCTGTTCAAGCTATCCAAGATAATAACGCCATTCTTCCCAGTAAGGCTCTGAACAGAAATATTAAAATAATTTGTTCACAATTATAATAGTATACAACATATTTCTTAATGGCAATACATTATATTATATATAAGAAAAAGGAAATATTAAACATGCAATATTTAAATTTAAAAAAAAAACTTATAAAATGACTCGTAAACCTAAATAATAAAAAAGGATACCCTGTAAAAATATATTTTATCCATACCATATTAATAATAATTTTTATGACCATTAATATTATTTTTGATAATCCGTTTATATTTTTATTTATTAGTGTTAATAGTTAATGATGACTATCACATACCCGAGGACGACGACGAAGTTCTCGCGTTTATCGGACAAATGGAAAGACAACGTTTGAGAAGGGAGCAAGATAATATTCCATTCGTTTCGGCTAATTTGAATGAGGATATAACACCGCGACAAATAAACAGTTGTGGCATTTGCTTGGCAGCCACTCACATACATGCTTGCATTCCGTGTGGGCACAAATGTTTATGCCACGATTACGGTGAGGATGTGAGGGGCAGAGGGCGTTGTCCCATTTGCAATTCTGACATCTATATGATTGTCAGAATTTTTGACTAGCATCATATTGTGTAAATATTATTTTGTATATAAAATTAATTCTGTAAATAATAAGTGTAAATAGCGTAAATATTGTAAATTGTAAAAATAGAGGGTTGTGATAGATCGCCTCCTCGTGGGCAACGTTCATCTTCTCAAGACGAACGGCTAAAGATCTATTAACTCAGTGGCCAAACTATCATTTATAACGTTCTCCTGGCCTGATTACATGCAACCAAACCGAACACAATCGAATCGAAAGATTCTTAGGCCACCTAAGAAAGCTAGGGTCTACCCTACGCATTTGCCAAATCAATATTGAAGGTATTAGCAGATCAAAAAGTGACTACATCTCCCGAATCCTCAGGGAACAAGACATCAATATAGAGGACCCAGCAGAATCGATTCCATATAATTTTGGAAGTGTTGTATAATGATAAATGAGTTTTTTTTAAATGAACATTCATACTCGTAAAAATCAAATATTATGCCTATCAACGAATATAAATAGTATAGTATATATATTAATATAAAGGGCTGCGGGAAAAAATATCAATGTAATTTTTTTTTGAAAATTAGATTTTGGTATCAAATTATTTGTATTGACGTATTGTATCTTTTATGCGCTCGAACTAGGGAAAAAACAGATTAGTCGAGTGACTAAAAATATATTAAATTTTTCCCAACTAATAAATATAAAAATATTAAAAAAAAAAAAAAATAATTAAAAAAAAACCAGAATAAGCAAGTCACCGTACGGTACCACTGCAGGTAGAAGAATAAACATACCGCGGACGCGGTGGCCGGTCACCGGTGGATCGGCACTGGGCGGCAAAATTTTCGGAGACATTATTTTCGGTTAATACATGTTTCGGCTTAAAAATTGTTCGATGAAAATATTTTCGGAACTATTATTTTCGGCGTTAATGTTTTTCAGCTATAATAATTTTCGGTAAAATTATGGTCGGACCAAATACTTTCGGCTAAAATACTGTCGGCTAAAATATTTTCGGCTTTTTTATAGCCTCCCAATAAAATACTTCTTTGTATAATAGGATAATCTTGAAATATTTTACAAAATAAATAAAATATATTATATTACTTTTTTATATCCACTGTACTACTGTATATTTACTATCGGAATTTAATTCTATCAGCTTTAACGATTACGCTGTAAAGCAAAGGAAGTGTAATGGTGTATATAGTAGCTCAAAAGGGACGAATGGGGTTGCCTAGTAATACCAAAGAGTTACTGTAGTGTCAAATGTGTAATGTATGTATAATGTTGATAATTTGAAAACTTTAATAATTTAAAAAAGTTCCTTTTTCGGTTATCATTAGTACTTAAACTAGAATTGCCTCACCGGTGCAACAAACAGTTAACTAAACAAAATACAATTGTGAATAAAATTCACACACAACAAATTAACTTAATTTCTGGCCAAGGGTGTAGCGAGGTCATTGTTCCCAAATCCATTCGGCCGACTGACTTTACAAAAACAAAATGTACACGCACAAGAACTAATTAGTCATTTTTTTCCCCTTACTTTTTAATTTTCTCAATGTTCTTATGTTAAAATTTTAAAACTAATATGTACGCAAAAATAAGAATACTTGTTAAGAACCCCTTAATATTTTCTTAGATGTCTAGAGGTTAGTCGGCTAAATGTCTGTTATGGTTTACCTTTGTGAAACAAAATTTGTTCAAACGTAGTATGTTATATGTCAGTACACAGCGGTTCTGAGGGGGGTGCCCGGCTACGCCGGCCATGGTGTCGTGACATATTTAATAGATAAGTTAATAATACATTCATATTTTTTTGATCCATATATTTAAATTCATAAATTGATTTTTTTTTAGATGGCTAACCAACAGTTCATCCTACTAAATGATCATAATTAAAAATTTTAAAATAATTTTATTATTCATTATGTAGTATTAATTTTAAAAAATATAGCAAAATCTATAGTTTTAACTTTTTTAGAGTGGAGCGAATACTTATATTATACTTCTATAAATTATAAAATAATAAATTAAATGTTGATGTTGAATTTCAATATAAATTAAAAAATGTATTGTTCTTATTTTTGCTATTTTTATTCAGTGCTTCAGATATTATAATATTAATCATTTATTAAATGAAAAATTAGTTTCAATAAAAATGATAATATTTTATTTTTTAGATTCCGAATTCGTACGGCCCGTGACAATATTTTCCGTGACTTTACGGCCTCCCCGCGCAGACTTGTATGTAAACCTAACCTAACCTAACCTACTTAACCTAACCTTGTGTGTATATATTTCCAAAAGTACTTGCACAAGACCGGTGACGAGTTAACGTATACAACGATTTGTTTTTAAAAAATCGATCAGGACATGAAAAAAAAACACCATGTCGTCGTCGTGTCGGCGATGGTAGCATAAAATCCTCTAAACAATATTTCCTTATAATAATATTACTATGACGTATCTTAAGACAATCTTAAGATCATGGGTCGTCGCGTACTACCGCACAGCTGAAAGAATATTGTGACCCACACTGCAAAAGCAATTACTTTGGGTAAACAACGATTTAAAAAGTTGTTGTTACAAATCGAGTTTCGTTTGCATAGAGTTGTTTTCTACTCAAATCTTTAATATAAACAGGGCAAGAT